TCAAATTAATTTGACACAATCTTTTACTTTTGTGAACCGTGTTTAATTCACACTAGGAGCCATTTGATGTTTCAATCAACATAGCTAATTATGTTGTAACAGTACAGGGATACATAGTTATACATTACAGCTTGCATAATTAACAAACTCAGGTGCAGTTCTCAATAAAAAATTCTCTATTTGTATTTGCTCTGCATTCTTGCAGCTTGTACAGATAAAAAGCATGTACGGTACACTTAGCAATTAATTTTGCACAGTGCTTACCAGCATTACCAGGTCAGTTTAGAAAATCAATAAAGGATATTTAAAAGCACTGCAGAATTTTTTATTGGGAAAGTGCTTGCATTTTCACTATATTTTAAATACACCACCTCAAAGTTTTGATTTACAGTGTTTTTCTTGTTGAACCATGGTGCTCTTCTGCCGTCTCTGAGGGATCTTTCTTCAATGAGGAATTAAAACTGTCTCACGGCGGATCCCGCAGCTGTCAGTGGTACCCGTTTCCTTTTTTGTCTGAATCACTGGCGTGAAGTGGTGAATATCATAGCGATTCTGGTCATCATATGAGACTCATAACTTGAAGGTTGTTGCTCCAATTCCCAGGCGGCAGAAACTGAACTGCCTCAGTTAAAATACCATGATTTATGAACTGGTATTCCTATTCAAAGCACTATTTCTCCTAGTACTGTACATCAGTGCATGGTAAATCAACTTGCCTTCAGTGAGAATTCAACAGAAAGGTATTTCCCTAAGTAATGCGTCATCGGCATCTTTGTGGGAGCCCAACCAATAGATATTTTTCGTGTCCCTTAAAATTTGTATTTTTATCACCTAAATTGTCTTAATTTTGAAGATTTTCTTGATTTATACCTAAGAATACACCTGCTTTGCACCGAGCATTAGGTAACGCAAATAGTTAATAGTTGCATATAATTTACATATCATTACAAAAATAACCATTTCAAAAAATTTCCAAGTAGACTGTATATTTACAGTTATCAACAAACTGTGTATTAAATATTTAGTCTATACCATCGTTCTTTGTTTACATTTATTTCACAAATACGTGTATACAGTGACTTTTGAATACAAAGAATGAGATATAACGCAGTGTTCAAATAGTTATCATAGAAGTGTCTTCAAGAGTATACATTACAGAACAATTTAGCGGATTTTTTGAGATTGTCCGTTTACGCAATAAAGAACTAATTAAGACTGTCTTCACTACACCAACAATTTAAAAAGATATGTCAATAATTTGTAATTTGACTGTCGAATCTGCTGCTCTGTTCCTTAAAATCTGTTTTCCGCAGCCGGTTCAAATGTCATTTTGTAAAAACTTTATTGACAGCCACCCGTGGGCGTTCATTGATTTGTCCTTGTGGATTATTCTTGCTGGCCAGCTAGAAACTTTCCCAAATTTAGTCTTTGTCACGTTTTATATAATATATATATATATATATTATTATAATATTTATTACCGTAAGTGTCTCCTTTGGAGAAATTATGGCTAGTAAAGTATTCCCTTTCATAAAGTAAGTATGCATTCTTTTTCTCTTCAACATATGATGTCGCTTTGTATATATGGAAATTCTCACGAGTCTCTTATTTACAGTAAACTTGTGGCTAGTCAGTTTCTAAATCACGTAACGTTGTTATTAAAATTCACATTTACTGTTTGAAAGATGATGGTTATTTCAGCCTCGTAACGACGTGGAAATATTAGCCGGCCCTTAGACTTGAGTGCAGTGCAACCCTGCGATGGTGTATCATGTATGGAACGATGTCACGGTTATTTAAAAGAGCAAATTCTGCAGCATAACTCATCAGTACATTTTATTGTCATTGTAAAAATGGTGCAGGAGTATTAGATGTATTAGTGTTTAACGGTGAAGTTGCTCACACTCTTCGTATACTATTATTTTACGAAAATACGATATGTAAGCATATTCTTTTCTATTCTCCATACTGTGCATATGTATTACAGGTTGGTGACAAAGGTGACCGTGGCTGGGGGTGCCTGCTATGTCGCCTATGACTCCGGCTTACTGGGAGAGAGTGAGAAAGGTTCTGAAATCCTCAGCAAAGCTAAGGCCGCCATTCCCCCGGCTGTGGAGGAGTGGATGAAATACTTCGGTTTTGAGGTATAGCCTTTTATAGATGGCAGTGCCATGCCGTCACCTGTCAGTATAGACTGATTTTCATTTGCGCTTAATGCTCCAGTGAAACTAATAATAGTTTTAAATCATTGTGTCCCAGCTACAAATCATCTATCTTTGCAAATTTGCCTCCATGATTAAATATATTATAAACATGTAACCAATATGCTCAGTGGCCACTTTATTAGGGAAACCTGTTTAATACCATTTAGGACCCCCTTTTGGCAACAGAACATCCTGAACTCTTCCAAGCATGCATTCAACAAGGTGCTGGAATCCCATGTGGTTTGGTTCATGATGTTCTTGCATATGTAGCCATCCCGATGGCTTTAATGAGTCTGGCCTTTCCGTTCTGACTGCCCTCAGTAACAAGGCATCTTAGCCATCAGAGGAGACTGTTTGTGAAAACAAGCAGGTTTTGCCAACAAAGTGGCCATTGAATATATGAGTATTTTACGTTGAGTACCTATGATTACATAAGCAGGTGGAAGATAGATAGATTGATATAGATGGACAGATTACTTTGTATATTATTATTAAGTACTTTTTAATGCTATTTGAGTACCTATAATCTTGATAAAGATAGGCAGGTGGAAGATAGATAGATTGGATGGATGGATGGATGGACAGATGGACATATTACTTTGGATATTATAATCAAGTACTTTTTAATGTACTTGTGTTGACACAATTGGAACACCAATCCAGTTAGAGATTAAGTCTTAATTTGGGGAGATTTCAGAAAATGTGGACCAAGTATTATTTGTTTATACGTTTGTGTAAAATAATGTCATGCTGGTGACCACATCTGCTGGGTTTGTACATTTTAGCGGCTGTTTGGTTTATATGTGTTTCAGCTCCCCGCTCCTCCTAAGATAGACTTCTCCCCTACGGAGACATGGAATTTCGGTAAGAGCATCAGAAACGCACAACAATTAGCATTGATGGAGTAGTGATGCCAAATGAAGCTTCATGAACCATTTTCTGTATTTTCTGGCACCACTAGATGGCGCTTTTGGTTTGTGTTGAGGCATGAACTGGGGGCCCTTGTCAGAAAATACATCAATTGGTTTGAGAAGCTTCGTTTGGCCGTTACTACTTGAAATATAATAAGATGTATATATAGAGAGCTGAATTGTGCAGATTAAATTCTATATTTGGTAACTTTATTCATAGATTTTTATAGACATGGCTCACAGAAAGTGTTACCCTACATTCTTTTCCCCCCGATATGTTGTCTTTAGGAGTGCAGAAGTCCATAAGCACACTTTCGATCGCCCCCACCAGAGCGTGTGAATATACCAACAAAGGCATCCAGTACCTAAAAGATTTGAGCAAGTGAGCATTTAGAGCAGAAGGTTATGGACTTCTTGGTGCCACGTTTATGGGTGAAGATGTTGCACACAGTCAGGCTCATGGTGAAAGAATACTGCATATTCGCCATTGTTTCCTAATAAAATTGGGGTGCATTTTGAAGTCTCCAATTCTTGCAAAAGTTCAAAATTAAATAAAAATAAACAGAGAAAGCATTGAGGACACCGATAAGATCGACGATACCGGTCCTGTGTTACTTTCTTTATTTTATCAAAATATTGTCTGGTCTGTATTATTACCTTCCTCCATATGTGTAAACCATCCTTTTGTATATATCCTAATTCACTCTTTTGTGATACTTTAAATGTGATCCCCAGATATTGTAATTGCATGGTGCACCAAATAAGACAACGGTGGTGTAAATTAGGACAAATTTATTGATTTTTTTTTCCTGAAATAAAATTACAGACAAAATTGCTTGGGTAACTTTTATAATTTATGATTTTGACAATTAAACAAGTAAATTATCATGAATAACAATGACATTTTTTCAGTATATCTTTGTATTGAAGATTGTTGTTTCTCCTAAAAATAATGATAAAAATACAGTTGATCATCATACTGTTGTAAATGAGTCATGGTAATGCTATGAGGTTGTTTTTCAGGGGTTGAACTAGGCTTTTTAGTTCCAGTGAAGGGAACTCTTCATGCGTCAGCATATCCAGACATTTTGGACAATTCTATTCTTCCAAACTTTGTGGGAACAGTTTGGGGAAGGCGGCCCTTTTCTGTACCTGCATGACTGTGTCCCATTGCACAAAGCAAGGTCCATAAAGATATGGTTGGCTGAGTTTGGTGTGGAGGAACTTGACTGGCCTGCACAGAGTCCTGACCTCGATCCCATGGAACACCTTGGGGATGAATTAGAGCGGAGACTGCGAGCCAGGTCTTCACGGCCAACATCAGTGCCTGACCTCACAAATGCTCTCCAGGAAGAATGGTGAAAAATTCAGATTTTTAGACAGAGTAGACAATCTCATGGAATGCTGTTATAGCTGCAAAAGAGGGACCAATTCCATATTGATGCCTATGGATGTAGAATAGGATGTCATTAATGTTCCTGTGGGTGTAATGGCCAGGTGTCCCAATACTTCTGTCCATATCATGTACATACATACACACACACACACACACAGGGATATGGTTAACATGCGCAGTCAATCCTGATGATTATGCAGCTTACGTGCTGCATATTAAGTTGAACGCCAATTATCAGTGCGTATCAGTTATACACGAGGCCTGGAAATCAGCAATTAGATATGCGTTTCCAAAGTAACACAAGGCAGACTTCCAAAGGCTCTGTGTCTGAATCGCTGTTGTGTCAGTGACAGAAACTGAAAGATTGTTTAATTTTTCAAGAGCAACATGCGTAAAACTTGCAACAGCATATAGCGAATAGGCAAGCTGAATCGGCAAATAGGAGAAGCAGTCACATGTCGACACTGAACAGTGATTACACACAGCTGGTCAATAACAGCATCCCAAGACGGACTGGACTTATCGTTTAGGATATCGAGATTTTGCTAGGTGTTTCTGTTTTTCCTACACCTTCTATTTGTCACTTGATTTAGTTAATTTCCTTTTGCAAACATAAAGCTAATTCAAACCCATATCTCGTTGATCTTAACCACTAAAGTTTTATCTTTTTAGATTTTTTTTGCATGCCTGTCGTGTTGCACCGTCTCAGAAATATGAGTAAAAATAACATTTAGGAAAATAACTGAGTAGTATACTGACAATATTTCGTATATCTAGAAGCTGCATTTAGTGTTCCAGTGTGCTGTTCTGTTCTCGGAAGCCTTTCTGCAGAATGCGTCATTGACTCGGGGGTCTTTCCGGTGAAGCTGCCATTGTGGTAACTTTCATTATTAATGCACTTAAATAATCATGCTGCGTTACCAATTTCCTGTTCTCACATTTACTTTGTCCGTATGCTGCGTAATTTGGGGTTTTCATCAATGGCACATTTCTCTGATTGGGATTACTTCACATTGTACTGATATTTAATGATATTCAAAGTGTAGTTGTTTGCTGGTGGCTATGTTGTGATACTTTGTTTAGGTACATATGGGCTGGTCTATATCGATTTTTCTGTCTCTAAGCAGCTACACTGTCTACTGAGAATGTGTGGGAAAGTATTTTTATGTGTGACTTGTACTTGTCTTGAGTTTACTGATGATGCAGAGAGATGATGCGGTTTATATTTCAGTATGAGTGGGGGGGTGGGCGACATGGTGGGGCCATTAACACTGGTGCCTCACACCTCTGGGACCAGGGATTGATCTCCACCAGGGTCCCACGTGTGTGGAGTTTGCATGTTCTCCCCGTGTCGTGGTGGGGTTTCCTCCAGCTACTCCGGTTTCCCATTGCAGTCCAAAAACATACTGAGGTTAACTGGAGTTCCCAGATTGCCCATAGGTTTGCTTGTGTGAGTGAATGGTGTGTCTGTGTGCCCTGCGATGGGTTGGCGCCCCATCCTGGTTTATTAGCTGCCTTGCGCCCATATCCTCTGGGATGGGCTCTGGACCCCCCATGACCCAGGACGGGACAAGCAATTACAAGAAAGAGATGTGTAGATTGCAATCAGCAGTTTTAAGGGCTTTTTTATCTCCTGATATAAAGCATATACTTATTTTTCTGTTCTGGTTTTATGCATTATAAAATACAGAACATTTTAAAATGTTGCTGAAAATGTCTCTGTTATAATTGCATCTATTGCTGTGTGCCTAGATAATGTAACTCTTCAGAGTGTTTCATGGTTTACCATTTCGCTTTGCTCTAAACGATGCTCACCACATCAAAACACCAACAAAGCTCACCAGACGCTGCCCATGTATGGAATCCCGTCAGTGTGATGCCTATGAATATTCACAAAACCTGACTTTGCATTCTCTTTTCACTGCGTCCAAGTTGATGGACAGTTTACGCTGTATGCACCTGCATGCATGTGTCCCATGCAACTAACAAAGATATGAGACCATACCGCTCAATAAAACAAATGCAGCTTGATTTTATAGTATATAGTTTTACTGTTGCAGTTTTTAACATTATAAAACATGTACATCAATATCGTCTCAAACATTTTCATCATTTTCGAGAGTAGTAAGCTAAATTAATCATAAACTCACTTAAAAGATATACTTTCTCAATTAGTTGCATAAATTCGTACTGTTTGTAGAATATAAAATGAATGCAATGTCTGTACAGTATGTATACCTGAAAATACCTGAAATGAAAATGTCAGACTATGAAGCATTTTTAATTATTTTTCTTATCCAGGGTAAGAACTTGGAGACATTGGTATAAATGTTGGGCATGGTTGGGTAGTCGCATTTTTTGCCGAAGTTGAATGAGACGATGCCCTGGACTACGCCATTGCACACCAAGGGGCCCCCTGAGTCCCCCTGTGGAAAAAAAGCAAACATTAATCTGCTGCATTTAAGCACATTTCAAATCTATGTTTCTTGGGCATTGACTTCATTTAGAAATGCAGGCAAATGATCTGGGCATTTTTTTTTGTGTGATAATACCCAGAATCCTCTGGTGGAGCTGACCCGCGACAGACACAGACCTGGCACGCTCCGTTCTTGGTCCCGTATCCACCAGCGCAGATTATTTTGGCTGGAAGTTCTTCGCGCTGAGATCTCCATAGCTTCCGACACTTGTCCTCATCAATAGTGGAAATTTCTACAACTTGAAGGTTGTCAGCGATCTTTCCTCGCGTTTTCATGGAGCCCCAACCAGCAACGTGGCACACAGTGTTGGCTTTTATCAACTTGTCTGTCGTTGGGACTGCCACGGGTTTAATTGTTTTGCTGTATTTGACGGGTTTCGACAACTCGAGACACAAAAGAAGAGAAAAGGAAATCTATTAAAAAGTCTACTTTAACAGTCAGCCATGTGACTGCTTGTACAACTCAAGAACACTAAAAGGACCAGGAAAAATGATTCATTTCACTCACTATATGTGTAACTAATCCCACGTTAATTGTTTTTTCATTTTTAGGAATATGAACTGAGATAAAACTAACGCATCAATGTATCTAAACACAGTAATGAGGATATTTATTCTTTTTAATAACAATAAACTGCATCTTACCTGCAGAAGCATGATGTCATTACCAGAACTGACACCTTTATAGTCTGTAGGTTTGTAGGTTTTAGCTACATGGAATCTGATCCCCTGGTTTGATTTTATATTATGAGTACCCAGAAGTACACTTATGTTACCCCTGTATAAAGGGAACAACATGTTAGGTCACCATACAAAGAAACAGCCTATTACAGCATCTTGGGGAAGGATGACTTTGAATAGAAAGAAACTCACGGTTTTTCACAGTGAGCTGCAGACAGTATGAATTTTTCTGAAATTAAAAATCCTCCACAATAATGTTTTCCATCCAACTGCAAGGAGGCCATGTACTGCAGAGAATTCTTCGCTGCGTTTTTGCCATTGATGATTTCTCCGCCGGAGGAGTCTTAAAAGGTCAAGGTGTAGGTTTTAGAGACATGCGCAAGTCTGTACCTGCTGGTACGTAAATAAGAGATGAGAGACTTACCAGCATGCACCAGAGTAGGCAGGAGTACAGAGAGCAGAACAAAGCATACTGGAGACATGGTGTTAAGACACGTTTGCTCTAAAACCAGTGTCTGAAGCAGCATTTTATGTAGCTCAAATGGGACGGTGTGGTTACTTATGCGGTTTCCTGTGTCAGTGTCTCACATGGTCACATGAGCAATTGTGCAGCATCATGACCTGCTGAGTCATACAATGAATTTGGCCCATTCTTCCCAGTCAGTGGAAAGGGGTCCCTGGACTTTTTTTCATTTTTTTTGTTAAGATGAAGTTCATTCGGAGTTAGTTTGATCAGAGAAATGCAGGGGAGGCTGGTGTCAGAGGCGGGGAGCACGAGTATATTATAGGGTGCCTTGGAGTATGATTCTGTTGTAGCCGCTGGAAGCTTCTCTACCTCATGCTGTGAATAGCAACACCGGTCCTTCATTGATCCCCATGGGGAAATTTGCTAGTTTCCATAGATCTCATCTTGCTCTTTATGAAAAACACAGACATACAGCCATGGAAAAAAATGAAGAGTCCACTCTATATTTTTAAACAAATCAGAATTTAAAAATCCTGGTTTAATCCTGGTTCTGCTGGCAGAAGGCTATGCTGAGCTGCAGGTTGCTACCAGGTTCAAAATGTCTAAGATAGCAGTACACAAGAATAAGGTGAAGCAGGAGACACTGGGAGCGACCAGAAACCAGCCAGGTAAAGGGCTGAAGTGACTTTCTAATGCCAGAGATGACCGTTAACTTATCCAGCATTTTCTCATGAATTGAAGGATGACATCAAGTGACCTTCCAAAGGAATGGGAAACATTAAGTGCAGGACTGATGATGACTGCTAGGACAGTTCGTATCAGGCCCCTTGATGCAGTTCTGAAGTATCATAAAGCAATGAAGAAGCCCTTCATTAAAGTGAAGCAGGGAAGAGCCAGGCTGGAGTTTGCAAAAATATGTCTTATTCAGAAACACAAACCCCTAAATTGAGAAATGAGTGAAACAAAAAATTGTGCTGTGGTCTCTTAAATTTCCTACGGCTGTACATGTTGCTCTAAAGCCAGTCTTCGAACCAGCATTTTCTGTAACCGGAAGATGTGGTTATTTACGTGATTTCCTACGTGTCAATTTCTCACAAGGTTACATTTTTATTTTTGTAGTAGGCGCTTCTGTCCAAGGTTACATATATTTTGAGCAATTGGGGGGTTAAGGTGGGACCAAGTTTTTGGGTCCAAATGCCGGGCACCTGAAGCAGTTGGGGTTAAGGGCTTTGCTCAAGGGCCCCAAGATGAAATTATTACTCATTTGGCTGAAGCAGTGTCTCTGAACCCGGTCCTCAGGGACCCCCGACGGTCCACATTTTTGGTCCCTCCCTGCTCCCTGCCAGATGGTCCACGTTTTGGCCACAGGATGTGTTTGAGAAACCTACACACTGTCTGTAATGACATAATACACAATGTGGCTATATTTATGTGGACACCAGCTTAACCAACATCTTGTTCCAGAACCAGGATATTAATATGACGTTGGTCGACCCTTTGTTGCTGTGATATCTCTGTCTCTCCTGGGAAGGCTTTCTGTTAGATGTTGTAACATTGCTGATGGGATTTGCTGCCATTCAGGTTGGGTATTGATGTTGACCACGGCAGCTCTAACAGGGCAGAAATTTGGTGAGCCGATTGTTGGAAAGATCCTACAATGGAGCAAAGTAGAAGGTCACTAATTTCTCCTGTAGAACCAGCCATTCTCCTGCCGTTGTCTGTTGATTTGCATTGCATTGGTGTGAGCTTCATTGCACACCCGTGGCAGAAATGGGTGTGGCTTCATTAACCAATTATAATTAATAGATGTTTCCACATAACAATGATACAGGGAAGGAAAGTCTGGTTCATGCACACGCACACACACACACCTCAGGTTTTTACCACTTTTCCATTTATTTCATAAACTGCAGATTTTTTTTATTCTTGTTAAGCATTGGAAAGTTGAGTGAACAAATAAAACAAGTTTCCTTCATAACATGTAAAGAGTATGTGACAGTGTGTGTCTGACATCCTATTAAATGGTTGTGTGGTGATGTCATAGTCTCATTCTAGGCTGTCCTTTAACTTTAAATGCACTTGTTAACCATTTCATCCCATGAAACAGAACAGTATTTAATGTCCCTCGTAGAAAGAATGCCTCATTTTCTCTGCTGTTATGAACCTTTGAGTTACTCAAAATCAAAGCTGTGACATTTTCTTGCTAATAAAGGTACTAAAATGGTGACAATACTGTAAAATTATTTGCTAGCAAAGAATATTGAGTGTATGTGTAATAAATGTTAAGTGAGTAACATGCAAATGTAGATGATCTCACTGTGTGCAAAAACTTTTGATTGGTAGTGTATATACATATGTGTGTGTGTGTGTATATATATATATATATATATATATATATATACACACACACACACACACACACACATTTCCCTATATTGTATGACAAAAAGGACCAATGTAGTGATATTAAAATGTTTATTTGCTTTTCAGTTCCATTTAATCAATACCGTTTTACAAATTTCAACAACATCTGAAAAATTCTAGAAACAGTTTGAGCTAAATGCTGCATTTGGGGACATTGTGGTTTGATTCTCTAATTCCCAGTCACTTAACTGTTACGTGATCGGAGGACAATGATTACTCTCTGTGTAGCACATTGACGGCTGTGTAGTCTTACCACACAGAGCGAACAATGACAATCATGTCTTCCTCTCAAAGTAAGAAAGCTGTAAGTTTGTATTGCAGCTACAAGCCTTGTACAATGCACAGCAGCTTGGCCCTATGGATATGCAGTACTGAGGAAAATCTCACTGGCCGAAAATAGATATAAATGAGACAAAATACACATTTTGATGAGGTGTACCGATAAAGGTTTCTTTTTCTTTTCAAGGATATTTATCCACAAGAGAGCAGTGATAACTGCCCTAATGCATAACACCATAAGAAAATGATTTTCATGTAACCTTTAGTGATGGGACAAAGGCTGACTAAGAACATGGCCGTTATCGAGCATTTGCACGGCTGACCGCTGTGAGTCAGCGGGGTTGGTTTCGCTTTGCACAGAACAAGCACGCCCTCCTCACTGCGTCTGCGATATGCACCTCAGGTGTGACCTGTATAGGCTCACAGCATTTTGGCCTCTGCTTGATAAAAAAAAAAAGATCGCTTAATATGATTAAGCGAGATGGTTGTGACGCTGTTACAAAGAGTGGTTTTGTGAGTAATAAACACCAATCTGCCGTGTGCGGTTTTGGAGCTAAACCACAAACTATCTGAGATGCTTTCGCAATGGCTTTATATGGGCTTATAGCACACATTTACTGTCGTTTACACCATTAAAATACTTGCTCTCATATTCTCTCCCTTGTTAGATACTGTTGATGATGCATTTGATCCATGATATGTACTTGGACACTTGAGTGTAGACATTGGGTTTTGTGGGCGAGTTGCAGTTTTTTTTCTGGTTGAATGACACGATCCCCAAGGCCTTCTTTTTACACACCAACGGACCTCCAGAATCACCCTGAAATGAGGAAATCACAAGAAGAGCTCACACCTTGGAGTTATGACTGGAATTATACAGCAAAGCTACTTTCTCAGTCAAACTGTCAGAGGGCCCTGCACTTAAGAGGGACCCCAAAACACAGCTGCAGGGCCTTGGTCAGCAAAATCCCCCCCACCCCCCGCCTTTGCCTACAGTAATATAGATCTTGGAGATCCTCAAGACTGTGTCAACGTCTTCGTTTTTAGCCAGAGGAAGCGCATTTGTACATACCTGACAGATTCCCTTTCTATCTTTATTGCCTCCTGCACACAGCATTCGTTTTGATATAGTTTTCCATGCACTTTTGCAAGCCTTGTACGATTCAGTGGTCACGTTGGCCTCCATTAGGCGTGGCTGGGCTTGTCTGCCATCTTCAGATAACCCCCAACCGGCCACGCTGCACAGAGACCCACCCTTGACTTCCTGATCTTTCTTAGGGATTTCAATCTCCTGGATCGTTTTGCTCCACTCAACGGCCTTCTCCAGCTACAGTCAAAAACATTCCCGTCCCATCAAACCTCAGCTGAATTGCCACTGTTATCAATGTAAAAGTGCATAATTATCAAATATTTGACCTACACATCAAACGTGAAAAATCTGGCTAGGTTACATACCTGCAGGAGCATAATATCATTGTCTAAAGTTTTGTGGTCGTACCCAGGGTGGATGTGGTAAAACTTCACAGGTATTCTGACCGTATTTTCTTTCTTTGTAATGTCATGTGCACCAAGCACAGCAGTCAGGTTGTGTTGCCTTTGCAAAAAGCAAAAAATGTATCACCTTAGTACTAAGCATTAGTACAACTTCGACGTAAGATCTCTCACATTATCACAATCCCCTTTCATTTCATATTGTTTCTAAGCTTATTTGAATGGTCAGTTTAAGCATTAGATTGAGAATAACTAATTGTTGGCCAATGCCATTGTGTTGACTTGCGATTTTGCCACCCCGGTGTGCCGTCCCCAGGGCAGGGGTGTGCCGTCCCCGGGGCAGGCTCCTACCACAAGAAGCAGTGTGCCGCAGTCATCACGAAGGACTTGGACACCAAGAATCCCCCGCAGGTGTGATAGTCCCTGACTTGCAAGGAGACCATGTAGGGCCTGGCATGTGGCACAGTCTCTCTGCCATTGACAATGCCGAAATCGTTTTGGGCTGGAAGAAGCACAGCTCTTTACTCGCTTGCTGCAAGAAGGCGTCTTCACTGCACCGACTGGAAAACTCATCGGAGGAAGACAAATGCAGTGGCACCAAATACAGACTGCCAACAGATGCATTTTATCCACAAGCACGTACAGTACTGTGCAAAAGCCTTAGGTAGTGAAAGAAAGTTTTTAAAGCTATGTTTCTGGGGACTAAGGGTATATTAGTTAAGAAAAAAACAGTGGAACATATGCAAATGTACAGTAACGCGACAAGAAACAGCAAGAATTTCTTCCGTTTTCTGAAATGGTGCAGAAATCTTGTTAGATGGCTAGACCAACACCATTTCAGTTCCCAAAATTCTCCTCAGGCATATTGACTAACCAAAAATCGTATGCTAGTGGTCAAATCAACAAATACATGGGTATGTTAGATGGTTACTGCAAATACCGGAGTTCCTTTGGAGAAATGGCTAAGCTGACACACTCTGATAGACATTATCTCATAGTTTTACATCAGCATGAAGAACATTTCAGTGCACTGCCTAAGGCTTTTGTGCAATCCATGTGTGCATCTCAGTAACACAGCAGCATTATAAACTGCAAACAGCATCTCAGCCCTTGTTATTACTGATTTTGCACTTCTGTTATCCTCCAATTAACTGAAAGGTCATCTCAAAAAAATCTAGTGCAGGGAAGCTGCTGTGGGTCTAGATTGTGGTGATCGGAGAGATGGTACGTGGAGAACTTACCAGAAAACCCCAGTGAAGACAGCAGAGCGGCCAGCAGAATCAGACCTGTGGCCGGCATGATGTCAATGCGATTCTGAGATCGGATCCTCACACTTCAAGGAAATGCAGGGTCTCTCTCCGCCCCCACTGGAAACTATGTGTGGTTTTTGCAAGCCCTCCTGTGCAAGGTGATCTAAAATAAAGCTTATAGGCCTAGTTTGACAGAGGTGACAAACCTGAGACACACTTTGCTTTTGTTGCCAGCTAAGTGAACATTACTCACCAAACAGCTTTTAGATGGACGCTCTATGCATCGTTTTTGTGACCATAGGACACAATGATAAATATGTCATTCTAAATGAAGATGCAAAGATCATATGTATCCAAAATAAATCTACGATTAAGTCTCAGCCTTCTGTCTTATGTAGGAGCTTCTTCACCTTGCACTGTGATTTTGCTTCAGATGAACTCAAGCATGAACAGATACACTATATGGAGAAAAGTATTGGGAGACTCAGCCATTGCACCCACTGGAACTTTTATAACATCCCATTGTATATTCATAGGCATCAGTATGGAGTTGACCTCTCCTTTGCAACATATCAAGACATTTTGGACAATTCTATGCTTGCAACTTTGTGGAGCAGTTTGAGGGAGGCCCTTTTCTGTTCCAGCATGACTGTGCCCCAGTGCACAAAGCAAGGTCCCTAAAGACATGGTTGGGTGAGTTTGGTTTGGCAGAACTTGACTGGCCTGCACAGAACCCTGACCTCAACGCCATGGAACACCTTGGGGATGAACTAGAATGGAGATTACGAGCCAGGTCTTCACTTCCAACATCAGTGCCTGACCTGATCTTCTGGATGAATGGGCAAAAATTCCCACAGACACACTCCAAAATCTTGAGGAAAGCCTTCCCAGAAGAGTGGCAGCTGTTATAGCTGCAAAGGGGGGAGCAACTCCATACTGACACCTATGGATTTAGAATGTGATGTCATAATAGTTCCTGTGGGTGTAATGGCCAGGTCTCCCAATACTTTTGTCCAAATAGTAGGACGACTGCATTAAGACATAAATTAAGACTCAGCACACCCATCTGCTATGTCAAGTATATTAAAGTAGCGGCTCTCTACCCATGGATCACGAGGAAATTTGGGTGGCGGCAAGTTCTGAAAGGGTCGCGAGGCAGAGCTGGGAATGCAAGCATTTTAATATGCTGATCCAGGATCAGATTTCCCAGCCCCAATCCTAGAATTAACTTATACAGACGGGTCTTGGGTCTGTAAATGCTTAGTGCAAAACTAGTGAACATTCAACCAATCCAAGAAGCCAAAATACAGATGCTTAATTTAAGTCACTGGCACATCAAAACAGATTATTACAGAATTATTGTTAAATATATTGCTAAACATACATGATATTTAACTTGAGAGTTTTTAGTTCCTCTCCTCTGTTGTCATCTTGCTTTCTTCTTTAATTTTGTGTCTTTCCTGTTTTTGTATTATTCTGTGTTAATAATGTTGCATCACTACACACCCATGTAAAGCACCTGGGGGCGACACTGTTGTGAAAGGCGTTATATAAAAATGAATTGAATTTCTCATTAGCTGTAGTTGTCTGACAGTGATATTAGACCTGAGTCACAATCTTGTAAAAGCTTAGCCAGTAGGTGGCATAATCTTCCCAGGATGACCGAGGAACACTGTGAGTCTTTAGAAATTAAATTTGTTTGGTTCTTTGACAGCGGTTGGTGTGATCATCTTCGCTGCCAAGCTTGCTGGCACCTATGTGTGTGTCATGGAGAGCAGGAAGGGGTACAGGAAGGGGTACAGGATGGGGTATAGGAAGGGGTACAGGATGGGGTATAGGATGGGGTATAGGATGCGTTAGATGTAAAGAGAATTTCCCTGCGGGGATCAATAAAATTGTTGCTGTTATTAAATATTTTGTTGCCCAACAGTGAGACTTCCACTGCACTCATAAAAACAGAGAGGTGCCAGATTCTGAGGATCATGAACAAAGAGCAGCTAGAAGCGTGAAAGGACATGATCAGGAGCAGCATCCACCACAGCATTCATGCCGGTCTCCCCATACAAAAGAAATTGCCACATGGCGCACCTCTCATTCTTGCCTACATCTTTTTCTGTCTTTTTTCTAATTTATGTGAGCTTTTTAGGTCATTCTAGCAGTTACACCAGAAACACACTTTGTGAATTTTATTCGCTTTTATGCTTTTGAGTTTAATGCTGCACCTTTCAAAGTTTAACACCTTTTATGTCAGGTTAGATAAACATTGTGCTTCCACATATCGAAACACAACCCTAATTCATGACAAAAAAAAACTCGACAGCCATCAGTGTCACCTGCTTGTGGTTGCGCAATCATTCATTGAGCCGTGGTGCTAAATGAGTTGTTAGCTGAGATCACTGTCTCAATAAACGTTAACATAACTATCAAGAATCTAGGTCCCACTGACCTGTTAATGCTTAAGGCTACATGCAAGAACAAAAGTCAACAGAAATACAGCCTTTATCTACAATATATGTCTGAAAAAGTGCTTCTATTCTATAGCCCCAGCTATATCTGGCTATTGTGGACCTTAATCCATGGTTAAGGAAACAGGAGCAATTCAGGGTTAATTAGGAGAGGTCAGTGAGGTCACAGATGTGGTGACCAGCCTGTTCGGGCTCCTTTCCACCACAACGTTAAAAGCACAGTCCAGACTGATCTTCTGATGCTGCTGAATTGCAGAGAGCGGCAGCATCTTTGCAGAGAATGTCTGTACTCAGATACATATCTTACCGCATGATGCTGTTGCAGTGTGAATTTTCCTGGCATACGAATAAGACACAGAGTATTAGCTTTGCCAAGATGATTAGACATGTCGACTTTTATTTTTCGCATGGTATAAAAAGTTGCATTAGTGCATGAAATGTTTATTGCATGTCCATAATGGAATAAGTACTACCATGCATGGTGCATGCAGATTTATAAACTTTACGAATATTCTCTGATGAAAAGTCTTTCTTTAATGTAAATGGAAAAACAACAGCCGGATCTAAAAAGATGGATGAGCTGATATTTAGGGGAAAATGCTTGTATTTCGTGGCCCATGCTGACTCATCCCTGTAGTACGGAGGTTTTTGGTTTTTTATTTTACTTCTTAGCTCTGCATTATTTTACTAGCTGACTAGGGTCCCGCATGCATTACTTGATGCAGTCTTTCCCAGGTATATCTACCCCCACACCTCGAGAGCTGACTTCCAGATCATTCACACAGCTAGCCGTTCCATCAATGGGTGGCATTTTCTTTCTGGGCGTAGCTACAGTCTGCGGCCACAGGGTGACACTGTTGCACTCAAAGCCTCACATTGCCCTCCTGAGAATATGCCTGTAGTGTATCTGGGTTGTGTTTCTGAGGAAATGAAGACAGCCTCTCTAGAGGACTGTAATGTAACAAAACTTTGTAAGAAAAACCATCTTGCACTGTTTTGGTTGGATTACTCTGACCTCAGCTATGGCTCAGAATGTTAACAAAGTGCATAATGGGGTACCGATTGCTCACGTACTCACCTAATTTGTCCATCCACACAACTAGGGTCTTTCCCACTTAGGCACACGCATGGTCTGTTCCTTTCCGCCTTAAAGTCTGGGAAGCCTTACCGAATGCTCGTAAAACGAAAACCGCCGGACTTGTCCAGATAAATGACAGCCTGAAATATCTATTCGGAAATCTACTGAAGACTTTTATGGCACACTGGCATGCATGCCACTATAACTGCAGTGAGACAGCATTTCCCTGTTAAAAAGACAGACGCAGTGTGTCTCACAATTAGGCTGTCTTAGCAGTGGAAACTGGCAGGCCACAACAATCAGCCACAATGACTCTATCTCTCAAAGCACTTGGCTGTCACCAGTTGTCTTGTCAATGAGGACTGTGACACATTTAATGGAATATTAATACAATGAAGTCATGACGAAGACACAAGTTCCAGACTGCTTGTGGACCAGCTCTCCGCAGAACCAATCTTCAGGCTTGTGCTTCACTGGGTATTTTCTGCAAGCACAGCTTCACCTTTTGTTACTGGTAGAGTCTACCGATGTACCGTTTGGAGTTTATTCAGAACAATTTCCTTCGCACAGCATTTTACTTTTTGTTTTCGGCATATACAGTGCTCACACAAAGTGTTGGGACACTTGCTTAATTTTGTAGAAATGTTGAGAATTTATGTGCAATGTATCTGCGCTTATCATCCACAAAGACGTTTTCTTATTGTCATATTTTTTTTTGACTGACTCATTCAGTTCTGTTCTTGCCATTTTGCTATTAATTGCAATTGTAGTCATTGGCCCCCAAAGGGATACTGAACACAATTTTTTGGTGTTTTATGTAATTGCACAGGTGTTACTAATTAAAGAGCACCCAATGACACTGCTTGCCCATGAATGTTTTAACTCAGAACAGCTCTTTTAGAACTATAATTTGAGATTCAATTTATTACTACTTGAAAAGAATGTTTAGTTTAAAACTTCCGATTGTCACGTTTGCGGGGCAGGCGAGCCGGAAAGCAGGCGAATGGAGCCGCAAATACGGAAAGACGGGGTTTATTAAGGACGGGATGGCTGACAGGCACAAACATCCACGAACAAACATAACAATACAATGACGGATCTGGGGGATAGTGGGAGACGCGGACTAATATACACAGGACAGGTTGGAATTTACTAGACATAGGTGGGAACAATCAGGCAGAAACAGGAGGTAACGAGGTGGGCGTGGCACACACGAGGATCGGACGGAGCTGGACGTGACACCGATACATATGATACATATTTTTTCTAAACAAATCAATGAAGTAATGATTTTTGTTATAAACAACTCAGGTTATTAACGTAGATCAAAAGTACAGCATTTAAGCCCATTTGGATGTGCAATATATTCCCCAATATTCTGTTTTTAGTACTTGCTATTTTGTAGAAGATGTCCCAGTTAATACCGTGGAAAAAGAGCAGTGGGCCTCGCTTAGACCAATGTAATACGAGGTAATTTTGAAATTAATCGGCCCAGCCAATTATCCACACGGACCATGACATA